TGAGAAACCTATTCGGGAAAAAGAAGGAATTCAAGGAGAAAGTTGACGATAGATTTTTCAAGATCCTGATGGTTTCTCAGTTTGAGAGCAACGTAGCAACACTGACTCCTTGCACTTCTCCTTATTCACTGTCAGTTTTCTTTTATGACCCAATATGACTCTATGCAAATAATGCGACTCTCAATCCAAGAATGATCGAATGTGACTCTGATATACCCCATGTCTCTATTTAGAATTCTCATGTGAATGGTTTGTCAAGTAAAAATTTCTATGCAAGCAAATTGTGAGTGAGATTGTAAGAGTATATATTACTCTCCACACCTCAAAGCATAGAGTGTGGTATATAATTACAACAATTATATGAAATAAACCTTTCGTAGATATAGTAGTGATTTTTTCTCAGAAAATATTGTTTCATAGAATTTTTCTGAGTTTGGAGTTACTCAAATTATTAGTCATTCGTTATGCATGCGAAATAAAAATTATAGTAATAAATTATTTAGATAAAAATTATGGTCTACAAAATATTTATATAATTTTGTCTCTTTTTAACAAATACCTGATTTCTTTAAAAAGTGGGTTTTTATTATTATTTACACATTAAAATATAAAATTATTCATTAATTGGATCCAAAATAATGTATTGGTGGCACAATGGAATGGTTAGGCAGAAAAGAAAACTAGCAAAGAATGGGTCAAGAAAGTGTGCAATACTTGTGATGTAAATATACATAAACTCTACAACAAGAGCTAAAGGCAATTACAGAATCTGGAAATACACATTTAATTGTCACTTTAAAACCTTTTGAGCATGCAATGCTAAGAGTTTTTTTTTCTTTTAATGAAAAAAGGAGAAATTTCATTAAAGGTTAAAGTGGATTAAGCAACACTTATCCAGAGGAAAAACAAAAACAGAAGAGAATTTACAGTTCCCCCAAAATTGATTAGCCGACGAGCCACGTCATTCATGACGCCAGGAAACATAGACCACATCGACAACATAAAGACATGAACAAAGAGATAAGATGTTATCCAAAATATTCTTAAGGAACCAGCGAATCATCGCAATTCTCTTAGCCTTCCGAAGGCTTTCGGGTAGAGCAGAAGCTTCAGCCATGATACAAAGGGTCGATGAGAAGTTGCATCCACCGAATCCAACAATGAACTCCAAGAATGAAGAGATCTGCTGCT